GCATGATGCAATAATACAAGGTGGTATCAGTTGTGACAGCTCGATTTGACACTGCCTTAGCTCAGTAGAATGAGAAGAAAAACGGGAAGAAGTGAATCCCCATATGGGGGAAAAATATAAAATTTCACATTTTCTCCTAAACAAAATTTTATTTTTTATAGTATATTCGTTATGAAATGAAATAAAATAAGATAAAATATCTTTTTAAGAAAACAAACAAATAATAAAAAACATTCAAATATATTAATGGGCAAAGAATAGTTAAAGAAGTAACACTATTTCACGTAAGGCAGTCAATATGGCGAAATTAGAGCGAGAAGTTGCCAACTGATAACACCTTGTATTATTGCATCATGCATTTCCTGAATGTTTAAACTAAATTTAGTGCGAAAAACACGAAGCTGGCAACAGTGCTAGAAACTGTCAAATTGTGGAACAAATAGCTAAGACAACCACCCCACAATTTAAAATAATTGAGCCTCGACACACTAGTCTTTTCAGCCCGTCTGAAACCGATTTTTCACGGCAAGAGGAAATAATTACAACACCGGATGTTTATAGCCAACCGCCAGATATCTTGGCGCAATTCCACCAAGGCCAAATTTTATTTTACATCCCTGCTAGACTTTAGAATTTCTGCCTATTTTCAGTGCCACTATTAATAAATAAACAGCTTTACGCTCATACACTGTTTTCCAATGCGAGTTTGAAGTGGTTATATACGAATTATATACTTTTTAATAAGTTTCCGCAAATCATGAACATCGCCACTGAAAAATGATAATTAGGAAGAAAATTAATGAAGATTTTTCCTTCATATGGAATACCAAAACAACAATGAAATATATATAAATGTACGTACATGTACATATATTTGGTTGTATCAAAGTGTAGCTGTATATTTAAAAATATATTTAAACTTTTCTCTACAAATACAAAATATTCAACTAAAGCAGATAACAACTTTTCGGCTGAAGTGTATTACAGTAAATTCTTGTTTCTTTATTCCCGATTTTTTCATTCGAATTTCTCTGGATTCAAGCCGTTCTTTTTCATATCCACACAAATAGAAAAGAGGTAGTCGTAGCATTCACACCTTAAATTATTCAATTAATAAATTAATAGCAAAGTGAATATACATTTTAGATATGTATATATGTATATACTTACATAGTTTTAGCCTTCTCCCAACTTTTACCCCACACATANTAATAAACAGCTTTACACTCATACACTGTCTTCCAATGCGAGTTTGAAGTGGTTATATACGAATTATATACTTTTTAATAAGTTTCCGCAAATCATGAACATCGTCACTGAAAAATGATAATTAGGAAGAAAATTAATGAAGATTTTTCCTTCATATGGAAGACCAAAACAACAATGAAATATGTATAAATGTACATTTATGCATGTACATATATTTGGTTGTATCAAAGTGTAGCTGTGTATTTAAAAATATATTTAAACTTTTCTCTACAAATAAAAAATATTCAACTAAAGCAGATAACAACTTTTCGGCTGAAGTGAATTACAGTAAATTCTTGTTTCTTTATTCCCGATTTTTTCATTCGAATTTCTCTGGATTCAAGCCGTTCTTTTTCATATCCACACAAATAGAAAAGAGGTAGTCGTAGCATTCACACCTTAAATTATTCAATTAATAAATTAATAGCAAAGTGAATATACATTTTAGATATGTATATATGTATATACTTACATAGTTTTAGCCTTCTCCCAACTTTTACCCCACACATATACACCATGTCGTCGAACCAGCACAGCACTGCAACCAGGATACTTAAGCATAGCTGCATACATGCTATCCGCTAGATCTCGTTCAAATGGCGTATTTTCTATAATGGGCACCACCAACTCCTCATCATAACGTAAGTAACGCTTCAAGTTCTCGTCGTAAATACCCTTTTAAATTTAATATTAGTATTTAGCCTTAAATGAGTTATTAAATAACAAAATAATATCTTATAAGTACTTTAATCATCTCCAAATGTGTACAACGGAAAACCTCGCCAGGCCACAACAAAGTTGCCATTACTGCTTGCATTGAATGCGTGTGTATTACGGCCTGCGCACCGCGATGCCGATAAGCCAACATAAATAGTGGTGTACATTGACTTTTCGTTAGTCTAAACAAAAGACAATAACTACACACAACTTAAAACAATGGTAAAATTTTACTTTTTGTAATCTGGGGGTAGCTGTATATCCTTTCCGTCATCATCCTGTACGAACAAATCATCTGGCTGCATGCGCTCTTTTTGTACTCCGGACGGCGCTATGTAAATCTCATTGCTGCATGAAATATCAATGATATTAGATGAGATTTCGTCACATTATTTCGAGCATACTTACTTGTATTTAATACTCATACCTCCTCCAGTGCCGGTTACCCAGCTAGAAGTTATTTATTACTGATAGATATACATACAAATGTACTTATAATTGATTCCTCTTACCCAAGATGGTAAAACTGCCGACATAGTCCGGGTATAAGTTTTCGTGGATGTTCCTAAAATTCATGTTTATAAGTTGCGTTTACTAAGTTAAAAAGCATATATTTACCTCCGGAAGATCGTTATAGATAGACATCTTTTTTTGTGTCACCTTTCGCCGCGGTTATTAACTATTTTGATAAGACGCGGAGTAATAGATAAGAAATTGTCTTCCTTGAATAAACAAGGAAATTTTTTGTTGTGGAATGTAAAAATTTTTAGTGCTGACAAGTTGCTCTTCTGTCAGAGCTACCAGATCGCTTTTCACAGCTTAATTCTCTGTGAGATTAATAACACCCGATTTACATGATTCAAGTACTTGAAAGCAAAGAACGTAAATGTACATTTACGTTCTTTGTTGAAAGCAATTCTTGCTCGTTCTCTTTTGTTTTTTCTATTTGCTTTTACACGTTTCAATTCTGTTGAATTCAAANTTACATTTACGTTCTTTGTTGAAAGCAATTCTTGCTCGTTCTCTTTTGTTTTTTCTATTTGTTTTTACACGTTTCAATTCTGTTGAATTCAAATTTTTGGTTCTTTAAATGGGAAGCAACGAAAATGTCAAAAGCAAAGCAAGAAAGTTGAAACGACTTGACGGTACAGACGCATGTGTACTCGTCCCTTTTCTTCTCACCCCCTCTCTTCCACATGCGAGCAGAATTGAATTCAATACTTGAACTGTGTAAAAGCAGTCTAATGATTTGGTTTGATGAAGCTTTTGGTAGGCAAAAATGTTTTGCAAATACAACCAAATTGAACATTAAAATATGTTCGCTTAATTTGCGTTTAAGCGTTCAAAACACTGCTTTCACTTTGCTTACACGTATAAAAAATTTTGGTAGTTTAGAAACTGATTTGGTAGGCGTTNGAATGTTTTGCAAATACAACCAAATTGAACATTAAAATTTGTTGGCTTAATTTGCGTTTAAGCGTTCAAAACACTGCTTTCACTTTGCTTACACGTATAAAAAATTTTGGTAGTTTAGAAACTGATTTGGTAGGCGTTTTGGTACCTAAAAATATTTCAAGTGGCAAAACTGTTTGTGGGTTGTTTTGGGCTCCCGCGGGCTCGTGTGGAACAAACCTAAAATCATTCCAATTCGACTTTTGCTTGTGCTCGATTGGTGTAGACGTGTTTTTAATTAATTTGCATCGAGACAAAGTGGAATAATTTAGAAAAAAGCAGTAGTTGCAGTGGAGATTGCTATTTTAACGTAATTTGTGTAGTAAGTGATTGTTTTGATATATATTTAAATGTAAAATTGGTAGAAAGATAATCTTGCATTAAGTATAGCATATTTGCATCGGCGACCCAATGCAATCGCCCGTATAGGATGCAACCGAGGTAAAAGGCGAAAGAGCTTCATAAATTAATTGTCGAACTGGTGCTCCTGTAGATGCCTAGTATTTACAGGAATATGAATATTTACGGCGTAATACTGTAATTGCACAAGCGTGGAACAATTATGTACATACATGTGTATTTATTAGAGCACCAAAACGATCGCCAACAAATAACAAAGTTCAGCTAACTAATGCCTAATTCATTAGAGGTGCCTGAATGGGTGCAGCAAATGGTTCATATGCGCAAACATACGCATGTACATACATACATTTACCAATAATAAATCTGCGAGGCAATGAATAACAACAGATTTCCAGAATTGAAAGGTGTCTTGCTTTTATATTTATAATAAAAAAAAATCAAAATTATCACTTGAAGGATTTGTGGTCACTTTGGATTTCAGTGTCTTTTGCCAATCGCTTTATACTTAGGTATCCATGAATGTCGAAATGTAATGATTACGACATCTCGTTTCACTGTTCGGCACGATAAAAACAAAACATTTTGGTCGAAGCTGGCGTTATTGATTTTGCCCACTTTCTCTTTTTCTGCGTATGGAGCATGGTTTAACGAGCTGTTATTGGATAACACCATACGAGCAGTACATACTGCCTGAGTGAAGACAGTTTCATTTAATAGTTATCTATGTAAGCACGTCTTGAAATATGATTATGGACTTATGTATATATGTACACTCGTGGACAAAAGAATAGCGTCAAGTTTGGAACTTATGTTTTTTTTTTATTTTAATTTAAAATATACCCTTGTTGTTATTGATTAAGTTAAGAACAGTTTGACCAGTTTTGACTTTTACTCCTTTTTCCTTTTACCTTACTTTTATTAGCTCGGGATGTAACTATGTAATATTGATGCGCCTAAAAGATGCAGCGATTTCTATTCTCAAGTTTACCTATACAGACAATGGCAATTATAATAGGGAGGTTTTAACTTTTTGAACTATAATTTTATTCATTTGTTTATTTAATGTTTATATAAGTATTTTTTATAAAAATCTAGCACATTACTATACTGCGGATATTTATGCAGAAAATGAGCCTAAAAATATTACCTACACTGTATACACTACGGCAATTCATCTAAAGCCTTGTAACGACGGAAACCCCTTAAGTTTACTTAATTTTGTCTGGAAATTTATTTTACTTACGAGATTTAAGTGGTTACGAGACATTAACGCGATTACATGAATACCCATAATGTGTTTATATTTACCGGCTGTCTTCAACGCAGTTCTTAAAAGATCACTCGACGACCTAAAATTGGCAGCTATAACTTCAACATTTATAAACATTGCTTTTTTCCACAATCATTTTTTATAAAAAACGGCGTCAAGTACAATACAAATTGTTTAATATTATCATATTACATAGAATTGGATTTTAATTAAATTTTCCTTTCGTTTTTTTTTTAATATTGACAAAGTTTGGACTTGGATTATACGGTTTTCGTAAGTGGGAACAATTATATTATAAAACAATAACCCAAATTAAATAACAAATAAAATAAATAAATTGTGAAAACTTGGCAAAATTTGTGCGACTAAAATTTGTTCGACCACTGTATTTATGTTAATATTATATAAACATTTTTTATTCTTTGTTTGTTAACTAACTTTATAAAAGTTTGGTTTTGTTTATGAATACATAATAATAAAATAAACAGAAAGACCAGCAATATATCAAAATAGATACAATTTCCTTTTGTAAATAAAGAGTATCTGAATATATATGGAGATGGTGGGGAATGTTACGTATTTCGGAGCAAAATCGGGTAATTCTCAAAAATGTAGTTGGCTACCCTGATAAACATCCACCGTCTACATGATAAAGGGCCCTACACACGCATCGATTTATCGGCCAACTCAGTTGACGAACCGCTAGAAGTTGGTGGTAAATAAGCCGTGTGTAGGCAAGATGGCAACCCTACAAGAAAAGGACTTTTTTTCTGACCTCTTCACATAGTTTAACACACTAAAATATACACCAATACACAGAAAAACATTTGTAAAAATAACCTAGGAATACAATAAGTAGAAAAGATACTTTTTAGCACTGCTGGTAAAATCGCCATGTGAGAAAGGGACGCATAGTCACATGTACACAAAAGAACTGTCAGGTTTTTCATATTACCCCCGAATTTCTGATGAGGAAATTGCAGCATTATTGCATCAGCACTGACCGTCAGGTGACCGGTCATTTGCCAGTAAGATTTCTTGTAGGGAAACCTTCGTTAAGTTGTTCGTCAGGTTGGAGAAAAATCAAAAATTCTTGATTTTTGAGGCAGATTGTTGTGGTTTGATTGAAGCAAGTTGGCAACCCAGAATGCGTATTTAATTTTTTTAAAGGCGCGTTAACGTTAACATGTGTTTTTCGGTTCGTTTCGCTTGTGAAAATGCGTATAACTTGTGAAAACGGGGGTGGTTGCAATAAAAAATACATAAAAATGAGAAACATTCCTAGCATAGCTTAAAAGCTTGCCAGTGCTGTTGTGTTGTTCACAGTTCAAAGGTTCTTACTCAAATGAAATCTCGTCCAACTGGTGCTTGTGTAGGGAATTTCGTTAAGTAGGTTGGTCAACTGGTTGGTCGATAAATCGATCCGTGTGTAGGGTCTTTTACGTAACACGCCCCACATAAATCCCCATTTCAAACTTCGTACAAAAATTATAAAAATGCAACAACGGTAGAAAATCGCGCTGGTCTTTAATCAGCCTTATCATGGGCTTCATTTTCCCCGAACCGGGTCATTTTTGGTTCCATGGTTTTACTATGGGGGATCACAAATTTTCGGGTGAATTTTTTTTTTCAGGCGAAACTCGGGATAAGGCAGAATATATATTTTTTTTTGGCTGACGGTGCTAGGCATTTTATTCAATAGCTTAATCAAGTTGAAATTGGTACAATACAAAATTCACTCGTCCGTGAATTAAAAAAAAATTAATAAAATGGAAGAAAAAATGTCTGCGCAAAGTTTCCAAAAAAATGCTATATGAGGTTTTGTTCAGCATTTTGTATTCGTCATCTTGAATTTCTTTAATTTGACTATGGATTTGTAATTAGCGTAGTTGAAAACACCTAAAAAGCGAATGTTGTCAAATAATTTGGAAATAGTGGTTGCTAAACTTTATATACATAACGTCCGTTCAATAACTTTTCCAGTAAGTACTTGCAGCGAGAGCGTCAAAGAAAAATAGAGAGTAAAATTGAGAGCAAGAGAAAATTTTCAGAAAAAGTTATTGAACGCAAAACTAGTAAAAATGTTCAATTTAAGCCATTTTGATAGTTTCTGACGGTTAAGTTTTGACGCGCAATTTTCTTTTTAATTGGAAATAGTTTCCATCGTCATAAAATTAAAAAAAAATATACAATAGATCTAAATTTTTCATCCATATTTTCATTTCACTAATTATGTTTTATCAAATCATCGTCTTAAACAGTTTGTTTACAGTTGAATTTGAAACATAACGTTACTTTTTGACTCCTCCAAATTCCTGCTAGTAAAATTTTTACTTGCAAGAATTTGCAGCTCTCTCGGGTTGTTACGCTATCGAATTGGCTCTCTCTTGCAAATATTTTGGGTTATTGAATGCATTTCCAGTAAAAATTTGCAAGTACTAGTAACAATTCGTAACAATTTTTTGATATTGAGTGGACCTATAGATTGCATGATGTTTTTGAGGGGATAAGGATATTTAAAGCCCTGAAGCAGCCAAAAAGGCGGCTGGTGGCTGCTGATTTGACTTTTATCTAGTTGTAAAGAGAGTATACTATAATACTGATATAAAGTGCTCCGTTTGGAGAGGTGTGGATCTTTTTTTGTAGACCTGTTAACTCTTTGCTATCC